TAAATACGTCTAAATAATAAGTCTTATACATACCTTTACAGAAGGGGTACTGGTAGAGAGCTTGATAAAAGAGTTGCTAGGTGACAATGACTTCGTGGCACTAAACCAAGCTCTGGTTAAAATGCGTGTGGAGTTACGATATGAAGCCTGGAAAATATAACATTGGTAAGTGAGAGCCATAAACCTGTGCCGATAATCACATTTTATACTGAAATAGGAGGTATAGAGCCAACTTCAAAATACTATATTTTTACAGTGAAACCGCTTAAATTACAAATTGCTTTCATTGGCCTATTATCCATCAACATTTTGACTATTAAAATCCTTTCTGCTTTGGACTTGAAACTATTGAAAAATTTGGTAAAGGTATTTGTTGTTGTAACTATGTCTCACCTTAATATTAACAAATTTCGCGAAACTGGGCACCTCATAAACTATGACAATAGTCCCCTGGGGGGAGGGGCGATGTGTTCTTCTTGTAGCATTCCCATTCAACTTGAACTTGGTCTCGGTATGTATGGTCAAAGTTTTCAAGTATTCTGGRTGATGCATTTGACCGTTTGGTTTAGTGACTTTAAGCTAGCAAGAGACAAATAGGAATTGAAGTGAGCGTTTGAATTGCAATATTTCCCGATTGCTACTGAGTTTCATGTTGTTGGTTTATGATCGTTTTTAGGCGCTCCTTGATGATATGTGAGTGCGCAGTAATACTTTGGGCTAATCTAGCTGAGAAAATTTGGATTGCTGGGTAAATTTCGAAATTTCCATCACGGAACTTCATTTATGGATTTTAGCTCTTTTTAATCGCTTTTTTGCTCTCTTTCTGTATTTTTTAGAGTCGATACACCTATGTTCTTGGCTCATGGGCGCCATTTTGAATTTCAACTACGAGATAGTCAGTCTGTTCTTTTTTAATTTTAAACCTAATAATAACGYCTGTTTTGCGTAAATTATTCATGCCAGAGCCTTTCTACGTATCTATGTGTTTAATAGGCAATCTCAGTCGTTGTGGGAATGGCCTTCAGTATATAAKATGGCGCACATCGCATTCAAAAAGAGGCAGAACAACCCAGTGATCGTCGTTAGTCATGTGATTATACCACATGACGGCTTTTTTGTCTCTTACACGAGTTCATTCGCTTGCAACTTACCACGACAATAAAAGGAAGTCCAGGTTTAAAGTTTGACGGATTAAAAGAAGGGAAATCGAGGGTTATATCTGTCTGGTAAAATGTRACGGTGTTTTTGTTACTGGCTGTTCTTCCAGTTAGGCTATCTGTCACAGTAGCGTTGAATGTCAGCAGATATCTGTRCTGATAGAGGTAGCTTTCTCGTGCCCAAGTRTATGTTTTGTGGAATAGATCTTTGATTTCGTCGATGTCATATGTGATGGACGACGTTCCGTTTAACTAAAACGCAAGTAAACAAA